GTTAGGTTAGGTAGTAAGTAATAATACGTAGTAAGTTTTACTTTACTTACTTTATTTAATTAAAAACTAAAGGTAAAGGTACGTTCTTCCTACTATATACTAAACTAATATATATATATATATATATATATATATATATATATATATATATATATTTATCCAGGTGCATTTGGCGCGTGTATGGTATGGCACTGGAAATGGTGGGAGTCATACCTCCGGCAATGCACGGGTCTTCAGTAGTCAGCTCCAAAGACCGTAATCTAATCTTCCTCCGAAATTTAACAACTTGAAAGCGTACCACCTACCAACTCTTAAAGCTTACCAACTATTTGAAAGCTTTTTCTTTCAACCACATACCACAAACCCCCATCATATTTTGAGAAGAAGAGCCTAAATTCATGTAATAGGCTTCAATAAAGTGATTAATGTTATATTTTGTATAAACTATTCTTCATGGTTGCATTTGAACTTTGTAGTTGGATTCAATGTTTTAAAAAATATATTGGTGAGGTGGATTGTCTATCCTCAATCGGAATTCAGATCATTTTTAGATCGTCTAGATCGATGGTATAGAAAAATTTTTTTTTAAAAAAAAAAAAAAANNAAAAAAAAAGGTTTAATAGTGTGGGGATTTAGAGGGGACCAAATACAATATTAGATAAGTTTAAATAAAAGTAAAAAACAATAAAATGAAAATGACGATTTCAAGGGGAACTAAAGCAGGATCCATACCATCCTAGAAAAGATTCAACCGCGATTGATTTTGAATCCAAATCGCGATTTGGATAAAAAATATCGGGTTTTAAAACATTAGTTTGATTTAATTATCCCTCACTAAATTTGGTGTAATTCCATGAGTTGGCAATATTTTTTATTGAGCCTCCTTAGGCGTGAAGAGAATGGGCACCAAGAGAGCCTCCTCGCAAAACTCTCACCCAACACCCCAATACCTCAAATATAAACCAAACATCCCTCCTCCCCTTCTCATTTTCCTCATTTTCCCTACCCCAAACCCACTTCCATAAATCTTCTTCTCCTTTCTCTCTCTATCTATTCTCCATTTCTTTCTCTCTCTAACTTTTCTCCACTTCCATTTTCTCTCTATCTTTCTTTTCCCTTTCTTGCTCTTCCCTCTCCTTAATATTGCTGTGCACCATGCAGACCATGCTCCTTAACCACTCCTTTACTCCATTAAAGCCCACAAACTCTTCTCACCACACTTCTCTTGCCACCACTCTCCCTTCTCTCACTAACTTTCCATGGAAAAGGACCAAAGACTTGCACCATACAGCATGTAATTGCACCGCCTCTAATGGTGGAGCCACCTCTCTTCTCATTACAGAGCCCAATGGCAAGGCCATGGTGCAAAACTTTGTTCTCTCCCCTAATGGCACTACCCAAGAAGAGATGATGGAAGATTTCAGCAAGAACCAGATGGGTTTTGATCAAGGAATCGGGATTGTGAGCTTTCTCGAGCGAAAGAGTTTCCTCATCACCGGGGCGACTGGTTTCGTCGCAAAAGGTGAGTGGAATTTGAGATTTCCATGATTTGTTTTCAGAGAAAAGATTAACATGTTGGTTACTTCTGCATTTTTTGTATTGTAAATTTGTAACTCATGGTTACCTTCTTCTTTTCTCTTTTTTTTTTCCTTTTTTTTTTAAAATACAGTTCTGATAGAGAAAATATTGAGGACCCAACCTGAAGTGGGGAGGTTGTTCCTCTTGATCAGAGCTGAGAGTAGGGAAGCTGCACTGGAAAGGATAAAGTCTGAAGTATGTGTTAATATTCTTTCATGGATCATTCATTCGTCTTGTATTATTTGAGAATTTTTTTATCAGGTATTTTTCTAACCTCTCTCTCCATTGGAACTTCAGATCATAAACACAGAGCTCTTTAGACTTGTACAAGAAATTCATGGTGAGTCTTACAATGACTTCATGTCGAGCAAACTCGTGCCAATTGTGGGGGATGTCACAAAGACCAACCTCGGAATAGAAGTAGATATTGCAGGTGCGATCGCAGACGAGGTTGATGTTATCGTCAATTCTTCGGCAAATACTACCTTCGACGAAAGGTTTGCGAGTTCAGATTTCCGACGGTAATTAACGTCCACATAATCAAGGAAATTAAATCCATAAAGCATCTTTTCCTTCTAATCACAGGTATGATGTTGCCCTCAATATAAACACCAGAGGCCCTTGCAGGCTCATGAGATTTGCAAAGAGGTGCAAGAAACTCAAGCTCTTCCTGCATGTTTCAACTGGTAAAACCAACATTTCACATAACAATATTTATGAAAACTTATGTGATGTTTTTTTGCATCAGAAAAGAAAAGAAAAGATGTTTTCCTCTTATATTTAATTCCTCTCTCATATGCAGCCTATGTAAATGGGCAAAGGCAAGGTAGAGTGATGGAGAAGGCCTTTTCTAAAGGTGATAGCATTGCTAGAGAGAGAAACTTATCCGGATTTCCTTCAAACCCACTCCAGGGTTTGGATGTTGAAGCTGAGCTAAAGCTGGCAATGGACTTACTTGACACCTTTCAAGATGATAAACTGGTGGCCAACAAAATGAAAGAGTTGGGTTTAGAGAGGTGATCTTTTAATTCTTTCAGTTTTCTCTTGGAGCCACTTAATTAGAAGTTAACAAGCACTGCATTTTTCCTATGGGTGGTACATGCACTTTTGCATGGGCTAACTAACAATCCCCTTAGATATAGGGGTGGGTAATGGGTCAGGTTGACCAGCCAGTTGACGGGCCCACCAGACTTTGGTCTGGGTTTGGGTCCTATTTCTAGACCCTTTGGGTTGGGTATGGTTCCAGAAGTTGAGACCCAGCATTAGATAGGGTTAGGTCTGGATCTAGGTCGACCTGATCCAAATATTTTAGATGCAATATTTGTTTTATTATAATAATATTTTATATTAAATAATCTACTATTATTTCATTGTACTTTTTATTTACCATATGAAAATTTTTAACATAATGTATATTTATACTATCTTATAGCTAGGAGCTTAAAGGGATTATTAAGAAGAAGGTTTCTCTCTCTTTCCTTGCGACATTTATTTTGTTGTTGAAAGTTAAGAGGCATAAATAAGAGACAGGAAAGAGAGGGAGAGAGTTATGAAAGCAAAATAGTGCTTGACCCAACTGGGTCCACGTTGGGTCTCCCACTTGACCTTGACCCTACAGGGTTTTGGTCTGGCTCTGGCATGGCTCTTATCTGGTCTGGTCTAGGTTGAGGCCAAGCCGACCATAATATATTAGTATAAATTACATATAAATAATACAAATTATGTAGTATAAAATATATAACATAATTTTTTATATATTTTTTATTATAGACTCAGACCCAACAGACCCAGTGGGTCAGGTTTGGGTCCAAATGATTTGGACCCGACCAGGCCCGAAATCGAGGGAGTTTTGATGCATTTGAGTATAATGGGCAGGGCAAGAATGTATGGATGGCAAGACACTTACGTTTTCACAAAGGCCATGGCTGAAATGGTGATAGATAGCATGAAGGGCGCCCTTCCTGTTGTCATAATGCGCCCAAGTGTAATAGAGAGTACCGCACATGATCCATTTCCTGGGTGGATGGAAGGGAACAGGTGGTACTCTTATTCTCTAAGTTTTCACCTAATTTCATTGCTCATATTGATACCATTTCTCCTATGTGATTTTTTTCTCTCTCTCTAAAATAGAATGATGGACCCCATTATTTTGTACTACGGCAAAGGCTTGCTCACTGGTTTCCTAGCTGACCCTCAAGGAGTTCTTGATGTTGTGAGTCTGTCTCTCTCACACACATTCTCACATCTCAATATTTACTTACATAAATAATTCTTATTATCAATTGCTCTATGATAGGACTGTAACACTATGATTCGTATCTTCTCTATTTTTAGTTAATGAAACACGGGTACGGGCCTTCTCCCCCACTGACTTACTCAAAAAACCAAAATCTTAATAGGAAAAGTGGCGTGGGTCCGCATATCTATACATGCGTTCCTTGATGCAAGTAACATCCACATCAAAGATGGACGTTAGAGGGTGGTCGTCCGACCACCAGTTATAAATTAATGGTGTAAGAAGAATAAATCAAAAAAATTAATTTTTGATTTTTTAAAAATGAATATTTTTAAAATTTATTTTCTTACATTCACATTTATCATGATATAGATTGACAAACCCTAAAATTTTTTAATCCAAAATGCTTCACTAAGGTAGATTTAGAAGAGAAGACTCATATAAATACATGAGTCTTGTCCTTCTTAGTTAAAAATTTTGCCATTTTGGGCTAATGGTTGAGGGAATGAGGCAGGTACCAGCTGACATGGTTGTCAATGCAACCTTAGCAGCCATGGCTACACATGGGAGAGAAGGGAAAGCAGGGATAAATGTATACCAAGTGGCTTCTTCTCTCACAAACCCCCTTGTGTTTGAGGAGTTGGCCTCTCTTATGCACCATCACTTCTCCACCTCTCCTCATGTGGATTCAAAGGGGAGGTCCATACATGTGCCAATCATGAAGCTCTTTAGATCAATGGAAGACTTCTCTTCGCATGTGTGGAGCGACGCCCTGCAACGCAGCGGCGGGAGAGCTTCGACTCTAGAGAAGCTGCCCCAACGCCTGCAAAATATCTTCCTCAAATCAGTGGAGCAAGCCAAATACTTGGCTAATATATACCAACCCTACACATTCTATGGTGGCAGGTGCTGTTCTTCTCATCTTTTAGCTTCGATTTACTGACTATTTTTTCATTTATTTTTCACTTGGGCCTTTCAATTTCATTTTTTTCCTTTATAACCATGATTCCTTATCTTATTTACACCTTTGTAAGGATTTTCAAAGGTTATGTAAAAGAGAAATTAATATAACCAATGGAAAACCATAAGAAATACACAGGAAATAATCCTCCCTGGGCAATTGGATTGGAAGCAGGTTTGATAACACAAATACACGGAGGTTAATGGAAGAGATGTCTGAAGAAGAGCGGAGAAGTTTTGGTTTTGATGTTGAAAGCATTAACTGGAAGGATTACATCTCTAATGTCCATATCCCTGGCCTCAGGAGGCATGTGATGAAGGGACGAGGCACCTGCTCTAAGGATTAACATGTTAATATTCATAATATGATTCCTAATCTCTAAAGGCATATCCAAATTGAGTGACCAATAAAAAAAAAAAGAAAAAAAAAATGAATGTTGGGATTGTAGGTGATTCCTACATGTCCTTTAATGTAATATGTTGATAGCTTAATTGATATAAGTGATTTATGTTAGAAGCAAGAATAGTGCAACTGATTGAAGTCACATTTTGCTACTATGTGGTGTGATTTGTTGTCTTCTTTTTTTCCCTTGTAATCAATTTTCAACAGTGAGGCTACAAATGCATCGACTTCTTGCATTTCATGAAGATCAAAGAACATAAATCATTTGGCCAATTGAAAAATAAGTCAAGTGCCTCAAATAACTTTCTGAAAACAGGTGGTGATAAAGGATATTATGGGTTCGCAAAATTATATTATAGCACGCTCCACATTTTCCCCAAAATTACGTGGAAAACAATCCCCCACGCCTCTTTTTTCCTAATTTTTCCCTGATATGAAAATATCGGAGAACTGCGAAATTCATTTTTTTTTTGTGTTTTTCTTTTTTTACTTTTTTTCTTTTTGAGGTCTAGCTGATGTGAGAAATGCCGAATACACCTATCTTTTTATCTGTTCAATATCGATGATGTCAGATAGCCTTTCCCATCGTGTGTGTGATGTCAGTGATATCAGACGTCTCCAAATCTTTGTCCTTGGGTTTTCCAATATTTTAAACATTGGATACGTCTCTTGCTGAAGGACAAGGTATTAGCAATCTCGGACAGCCTGAAGGCAAGGATTTGGAGATGTCCAATATCAGTGACACCCGAATGCATCATGGGTTTTAAATCTATCCAACATTGTCGATATTGAATCTACCAAGAGATATGGGCGTTCAATGTTTCTGATATTAGCCAACCCTTAAAAAGAAATTCTTTTTTCCACCTTTTTGATGTTGAAAATGTCGGACAAGGGGCAAGATTGGAAAAAAAAAAATATGGGCCAGGGGGTGGTCTTCATGTAATTTTGGGGAAACTGTTGAGTAGACGATAACAAAGTGGGGAAACAGCTGGTCTGTACGTAAGTTTTCCTTATGGGTTTAAAGCTCATTTTATAATCCATGTGAACAAGCACATTGGTAAGAGGATTGGAAGTAAAACCTCTCCTTAAATTTTTCAATCTTTACGATTAGGGCTGTAAATAGGTCAAGTCAAGTTGAGTCTATGTAGACCCTGACGAGACTAGGTCAAGTAGATACTGTTGGGTCCAAGTCAATTGCACCCTGACCTGATATATTAAGTGGGTTCGGGTCCAGAGCGAGACACATGTATACACACACTTACACACGTGCATTATCACCGGAAAAGATTCACATAGAGAAGACGTTTTCATAGAGAAAGTACAAGTCTTTGTAGAAGTGATTTACAAAAAAGTTTACTGAGTAATGTAAATAAGCAGAAGGCCCTTGGGAACATGGTAACGATGGGTTATACTTGATCAGACCTGATTAGGGCAAAATTCATTAAGTAATGGGGAGTGCTCATCAGGCTAGAGGGGTAATGGCCTAATGGGGAGTGCTTCTTGTGTGATTAGAGAGAAAGATTGCTGATGGTGTGGGTCCGACCTCATGTTCATGTAGGTGTCCTTTTATTTTTATTTTATAAAAATAATACCTAAATCTTTGCAGTAGATTGACATTATGTGGAACTAGGGTACCTTTGGTGTCTAGAAATAAATAAAATATTTGGATTGATAGATAGTGAGAGACCCGAATACATTAATTATGATTTATTTCATTAAGGGTATGTTTTTTTTGATAAAGCAGAATGATAGACCAAGATTCGTATAACGAACCCCAAATACAAGATTCGCGTAACAAATGCCAAATACAAGATTTGCGTAACGAACCCCAAAGGTTTGATGATGATGATCGAGGAAAGTTGCTCTTATTTGCTAATATTTAAGTAATATTTGTGAGAAGACAGACAAGCATTTCAAACTTTTGCTTTAAAAAGTCTACCATGGAGGATGCATTATTGTGCGGTGATAAAATGGAGCCCAATTTTACGATGATAATTTCAGTTATATTCAACACATATACCTTCTTGAAAAGTTATATTAAGGATATTATCAGCTCTGTGATTTTCTTATCGTGATAAAATTACATTAAAATAATTATAGCTTCCATAACTGTCAATAAGGATAGTAAATAGACTGGTCCTCTGCTATTTCATGTATGGTAATTATAAGAGCTTGGCTTGGGTTTGAGTGGTTAGTTGTTGTCTTCAAGCAATGCAACATCTTAAGTTCAAATCCTACTATTGAACTACCCAAAAAAAAAAAACCAAACTCTATCCATGACATTAAATTCTGCCATCTAAAAACAGTTTCTTCTGTTTCATGAAGTTTGAAAAAGGAAATTGAATTGGTTCTTCACTGATCTACTGAGAACAGTTTCTTCTGTTTCATGAAGTTTGAAAAAGGAAATTGAATTGGTTCTTCACTGATCTACTGAGACTGTCAACAAGCCAATGCAATCTCCCTCATTTCAGCGCAGTTCTTTACTGAGAATGATGAATTAGGATTTTATTGATGGGAAGAGCATAATTTCCCATTAAAAATTTTATACATTGGCCTGCTATGCTTTGCCTTCTCCTCATACTCATTACAAAGCCAAGCTTGGCACTGCGAGTGATCTCATGTAAGCAAGAGGTAATGTGAGTAGCTTCTTTGCCCTTCCGACGTATGCCCGCTTCGTTAAGTTGTCATAGTCGTTTTCCTCTATGGCGTCCAGGATTTTACTGTACAGCATCAATGACGACCAAATCTGTGTCCAAAATTATAAGGTTAATGATAATCAAGAATTGGGATAAAGCTTGGATGATGATAATGATTATTGTAAAACAAGTGTTGCATTTATATATACAGTGGGAAGCATATGGTACAGACATCCACTATCAATCCAAGATGATGAAAAGTGGAGAATTATTGTATCGATTAATTTTTCTTGTTTAGGGGCTATGATCGATCTCCATTTCGCGCATGGAAAGCGAATGGTGGATGTTTTTCTGGTGTACCATATACTATACAAAGCGGTGCATGATATACTTTATCTTCATCTCAAATATGCATTTACCGGCCATCGGCTATCTTTGTCCAAGTGAGAGGCACCTATTTCGGCCTGGTCAAAGTAGAACCTGGCCCTAGCGATCTGTTGCTTCATGAATGCCCTCCAACCATCTGTTACCTTTCTCGACATCACATCGGCATCTGATAGCCCGAATTGCGCCAGTTCATCTTGAGGAAGATACACTCTCCCTCGTTGTGCACTGCATCATTAATATAGGTAATTATGTTGTTAGTTTAAATTTCTGTAACTCTCTTTGTGCATGTTTGATCTTCTGGCAAGAGAAAAAGAAAAAAATTGCGATAAATGTGAAATGCTGGGCTTACTCCTCTCCGACGTCCCTAAGGATGTTGGCAAGCTGATTTCCAATTCCGAGAAAGAGAGCGGCATCGTAGATGCCACGAGTGGACGCTGGGGAGTCAGGGGCAATTCCCATGATCGGAACACTCATCAGTCCAACCGTTCCAGCCACCCTGTAGCAGTATAGGTACAGCTCTTCAAAGCTTTGGTATCTGCACTTCCACAAATCCATCCTCATGCCTTCTATCATCTCTTCAAATGGCTACATCAACATGTAAAAGAAATGAACATTATGTCCGAAGGTATTTTTTAAAAGGGATTGTATACAATGAAACCATTTATCTTTAATAACGGGACCACAATTACTTACCACCATCTGATGTAAAATCTGATAGCTCAAGTGTGTTACATAATTCGAGAAAATTTCTTTCGAATTTTGAGCTTAGTCAATGAAATAAATGTAGTTACCCAATTTCATACACAATGATCAAGGTTAATTGTGACCATCTTGTAACAAAGCTAAATGGTGTCTTTATATACTTTCCCTTTCTAAAAAATATATTTGTTGTCTGTGATCATATATTTTGTATTCTTCTATCATGCCTTCTATCGTCTCTTCAATAGCTCATATTATTATTATTGTTATTTTTCTACAAATCAGATGAATATGAAATTTATTGACTGTAGTCATATCAATGGGGCCTACTTAAAAGAATATTAAAAATATTTCATAAAAATAAAATAACCAAATTGCCATTGAAATTTTATGGGGTATTTTGATCATTTTATTTTTTCAAAAATAATTTTAAATATTTTTTGTATGTGCAAACTTACGAGAGGATTGGATGACCCAAATTTGGTGTTAATATGATTTGTATAATTTTTTTTAAAAAAACAATAATGTTTAGGTGTGAGATTGTGCTTGGACCATTTCAACCACAGTTAGGAGAGAGGTAGCATATATATAAATTCCCTATACCTAGTCGCTGCCAAATATAAAGTTTTTCTTTCTTTTGCGAACTTTTAAATAGGAACTCGAAAGGGAGAGGTGGGGATTGGGATGCTGCGATGTGGGAGAGCTTGTACATGCCTTAAAAGTTGGACTTGGACCAAGTAATATAGTACTGTAGCAGCAAAAAAAAGTTAAAAAACTACAAAAATTATAAATTTTTTTTAAAAAATTGAAAGTATATGCTTAAAGTATGATTAAGCAAAACATTTCAAAATCGTGTTAAAAAATAGTAAAAAATAGACTTTAAAAAATCATGACTGGGGTATTTTTGAAATAATCCAAAAAGATAGAAAATTTTAAAAATAAGTATTTATGGCCAAAACACTTTTCAATTTTTTCCAAAATGATAAAAAACAAAAAAAAAACATATCTCAAATACATTAGATATATTTTTAAATTTTTTAATTTTTTTTTTTTAATTTTAAACATGCTTGAGTTGAAAATCGACAACTCGGGCTGGATAAAGGCCCGAGCCTGAGCCTGAGCTCAAGTAACTCGGCCGAGTAGAAACTACTCCGCAGATTTTGTGAACACTGGTTTGGATGGATTGCCTCCTCTCTGTTTCTTATTCATGGCTTCTACGAGCTTGATTTTTCTCTCTCTGAATGTACGCAGTTTATCGTTTATGCTCACTACCGTAGCTATGAAAGAAGTTTGCCACTGTTTCAAGGGTGCTGTGACAGGTGGGTTCTTGTAAGTTGAAGAGCATTGGAGATTCAGCATATGGATGGTTTTTTTCCAGCAAGAATCTTAGCTTTTGTGGCCGGAATTTGATTTCCTTGTCATAAATTTGGGTCAGGAAAAGAAAGAGAAGACAGAGATCAAATATTTATTGTTTATGAGGCGAAACTTTAGAGGTTATACAAGCAACTGAAGCATGGGAAGCCTGAAAATATAAACTTGTCCCATGTTGCTAATATCTGATCGAGGGATAACTTTGAAAAAAAAACAAGAGAAAATTACATACATATATGTTATAGTTTCCGTTATTAAGGCTCTACCGAATAGTTTTTGTTATTACTACCGTGTCCATTTTTTTCATGTCAAAACGGAAATTTTAAAAAAAAGACGACTTTACTTTACAACAACTGAATTCAACTAGTTTGAACGCCTAAATTTAGGAGAAATCTTAGGGATTATGAGATGAGAAGATTAGGAGAAATAGTGTGACGTATTCTCTCTACCTCTTTGAAGTCATGATTATTTAATAAAATCAAGGGGAAGAAAGTAGTTTGAGCCCCTAAATTTAGAAGAAATTTTAGGAATTATGAACTTACCAAAAAATAGATGCTCGGTGAAGGGGAGAGAGAGAGTTTTTTTTTAAAAAAACCATTTTTACCCATATAATGTCAAGAGAGAGGATATGTAGACCCATAAGAGAGAAAAAAAATTTAGGCTATTGAAGAACTGAACATTTTGAATTTTTGGTTATTAAAAAACCGAAATTGGCCCCGTTTTTTGTTATTGAATTCGGTTGTTCAACAACTGAAAAAACTTTGAATTCGGTTATTCAACAACTGAAAAAGGGTAAAATTGTAATTTTAAAAAATCGCAGTTTTGACATGAAAAAATAGACACGGTGGCAATAATGAAAACTATTCGATAGAGCCGTAATAACAGAAACTAAAAAACAAATATACTGTCTTCCATGTAAATTTCACATAAAATTGAACAAAAATATAGAAAATATAAAATATTGTGGTACAAACGTAATTTTTCTTAAAATTTAGGTTGCAGAATAAATGGATGGTGCAGATGGCCGCAGCCCACATAAATGGCTGAAGCGGTTTAGAGCAAGGTTTTCGGGACTCTTTTTCTCTGATGATTTGATTTGGAGACTTTATTAGTGCAAACTTATGATTGATTAATCCTAGAATTTAGGGAGATGAAACTCCCATTTCCTGTTACTCTCAGTAGTTAGTAGTATTACTCTGACACTTCAAATGGAGCCTAGTGTCTCACTTGAAGACATAGCTCCATTACATCATAAATTATGAGTACTGTGTCAACTCTTTAAATAGAGATGTCTTCCTTTATAAGTCATAGAATGGTTAGAGTGGAGCTCCTTTTCTGTCGCTAATGTTGGGTTCCAATTCCATAGAGCGATCGCTGCCCTACCGGGCCTACTACGGGCCTCGGCCTGGGCGTAGGGCTTATCAGGTAGCCCGTCCCGTTTGCAAATTTCCGAGTTTTATGGGACGGCCCAATAAACAATGTTGTTTCTCCGGCCTGGTCCATTTAGAAACCCTTTTTTCATTTTTTTATTTTTATTTTTCAAAAAATATTAAAATTAGATTGAAATATTAAAATTTTAAAAAGATATTTTAGCATATATATATATATATATATATATAATATATATAGTAGTGGTGGAGAGAGACAGAGGAGGTAG